TGTAATAAACATACACTTGTTAATAATCACACGAAATCGCTTTTAACTGCACTAAAATCACTTTTTACACTCAAAATTTGAAATACTTACGTTGATTTCAAACTTGTCAAAACACTTTTCAACTATCTCGTGGATGGTTTGAGACGTACTGAAGCAGAGCAATAAGACTGCGTATCCACTTAACAAACACTTCACTCCCCTTCTCGGTTGGGCGCCTGGCGTCTGGCATTCAAAGCGTCAATGTTTATGTTTTGGAGGAATGGAGGATTGTGAAGACGGTTGAGACTAATAATTGAAATATATTTACATGAACTATTTTTCTTTTTATTCAATACATGGATAATTTCAAAATAATAATAATGAAAAAAAAGAGTAAAATTTTAGAAAAAACTTGTAATGCACGTAATATCATGATTTTGTTTGGTATTATAGAAGGAAAATCTTCATTGAAGCGTAAGCAATAATAATCCATAGTTTCTGATCANATCATCTTCGGGTTGACTCCCCCCATCTGATTATTCATACTTATTTAATCGAGGGGTAGGGAGACTTCGGATAAAAACCGAAGAACATACTAGCCTACCGAGGGAGACGTTGGTATTACCCCTCCTCTCAAACGCCATTTTGTTCAACGGTTATTGCATCATGCCACGAAATATAAACCAGACTTTGAAGAAACGTCATCATCGTATCGTAACGGTTATTGGATTAATATTATGAATACATGACCATTTGATCTTACCAAACCTCCAGACAAATTTTTTCTTCCGAGGACTCCAACGGAAAAATAATTCGCGAAATTTCACAGATTCTTGTTGATGCGAGGGCATTCAATGAAAACCGTTACTGTGCTAACACCAACGAAATTGTCCAGCTATATTTGACATCTCTCCCTGGAATCTCGAGAGCAGATCGTGTAATTTGTCCAGACAATAACAAAATTATTGAAGTAACATTTCCAAGACAGTATGCAGACACCAAGTCCACTACCTCTCATGCTAAAAACCAGGGAGGGGCGGTGATGATGAAACAAGAAGACTGAGCAAAGTTCTCAGTTACTTTTACAATTGAATCATAGCAACATGGCGGTGGTTATTGATATCGAGGGTTTCAAAGATTTTGGCAACCAGTTTGTCTTGAAAGAATTTGCAGTATCAGCATTGGAGCTTGATGATGATGGAAAATTTCTTCATGAGTCAGTTTTGGTGGATCCACCCCACAAATGGGAGGATTTATTGCTTAAATATCGGGAAATGAATCAGTGGTTGTCCCGTCATTATCATGGGCTACATTGGGATACTCCTGGAGAAATTGAGTATGATAGAGTGAGTGAGTTTATCAATGCTATGGTGAAGGATGTTAAACACATCTACGTTCAAGGTCTGGAGAAGAAAAATTGGCTAGAGAAGATTCTCAAGAATGCAATACCTATCACTGATTTGGATGATTTTGGTTGTCCGGTATTGGAGAATGTGGAGGTGGAAATAAAGTGTGTCTATCATCATAGTCTTTTTGATGGAGGTCCTATTAATTTTCATTGTGCAGTGGTCAATGTGCAACGTTTGAAGAAGTGGTTTACCAAGTACGATGCTGGGTGCTTGGAGAAATCATTGACAAAGTATTGTCAGACTGGACATTTAAATTCTTTGACGAGTGAGGAAATTTCTTTTCTTCCAAAATGTTTTATAAAAACTGTTGCCAAAGCCACTGTGGATGCAGCTTGGGAGAAGTTATCAGAGAGCATGAAGAAGGATCCAAGCATTGCACGTCTACGTTATTGTCGCACTCATTGGCCCGCTTTGGCAGCGTCTTCAAGCAGTTCAATTCCTCCACCAATAGTAGAGTGCCCTCTGTGTCAATATAAACGTTGGTAGTGTATACAGAGTCTTCATGCTACCACGAGTTCTCCGAAAGAACAATCCCCTCCTCCAGTGAGATCACTGCTCAGAGTCTCCAATATAAAACCTCACCAGTACTCTCTTGAATTTCAATAATACCACTCGATAATTATTATCATTCATTTTCCCCAAATTGACGACTACAATTAAAAATTTTATGAATCAACATTTTGAAGATGTCAGAACCAATATCTTTTTTTATGTGGGACCAGACTTATCAATCGTTTGATGATGCAGCAGGAGCAGCTGATGCAGACACCTCCTATTATCGTCTTCTACACAATGTCTACATCCCTTGGAATGGTTCATGCAACTTCCAGTGCCTACGTTGATCTATCATACTGAAAAAGCGGTGCAAGCAACGGATGGTATTACTGATGTTCATCTCTCACTAGTTGGTGTCCGCACGATCCTCATGAAAAACAATGATTTTTTCATCTTCATTAAAGGGGCTTTAGCAGAAAAGTGTGCTGACAAAGATAGCAGTTCATCGGAGGATGAAGACAACCCAATATGTGAGTCATCCAATGGGCTGGAGGGCAGTGCAGATATAGAAACGTTGGAGGAGATGAAAGAGATGGAGCAAGCCAGTGGTGGGAAGGGGCAGCCAGTGAGGGGCTTGGAGAACGGTGGAGCAGACGATGATGTGGTGACTGTCTCGAGCGAGCACGGCACTGATACCGCTTTGGAAGGAGCTTACATGCTGCTTGACTTTATTGAGTCTTTTAGAAATTTATAAGTAAAAGTAGTGATATCATGGAATTGATCATTGATCTACAAGGGTTCCGCAGAAACGGGAATTTTGTTTTGAAAGAGTTGGGTGTTGTGGCAGTGCAATCATCATCGGATATTGAGGCGAGTTTCACTCAACACATTGTATTTCGCCCACCGTGCGCTTGGACTGATCTCGAGGCTATGGATGTTCGAACCAACAGATGGCTCACACATAATTATCATGGAATATTGTGGGAAATTGGTGAATGTGACTATGATGACATTGAAAAAGTTTTTCAAAGTTTTCTGAATAAAAGTGTGATGAAAATTTATGTTAAAGGATTAGAAAAAGTGAAATACCTGCAACAATTATCACTGGGGGATGTTTACAAAATCATCAATTTGGATGACTAAAATTGTCCAAACATTGCCAATCTTTACATCAAGGACTGCCCACATTCCAAAGTGCATCAGAACATCAAAACACCTGATGAGTCCGTTTGTTGTGCTCTCGCGAATGCGTATGGATTGTCTGAATGGTTCAAATGTTATTATCATCGTATCGGGACTGATCAAAGCGATTTCAATGATATTTTTGAGTGAAAAACTGGACTGTCACAAATGAACTCTTGTCAAATTATTATTTTTTTCTTTTGTATTATCATGTTTTATCATTTTTCCGCTTTCCGCATACTCGAGGGTTCGCGAGGTCGAGGTCAAAGTTGCAGGACGAACACTATACCACACGACGAACGCCCACTAGTGGTCATTTCGATGACTGTCATCAAAGTGACCATAGCTCCA